TGGGATGGAAGTGGGATGGGCTTGGCAGTACGGGGCTGGAACTGGGCTGGAACTGGGCTGGCACTGGCAGTACTGGGGTCAAACAGGGATGGAACTGGGCTGGGACTGGCAGTACTGGGATGGAACTGGAATGGAACTGGGCTGGAACTGGGCTGGGACTGGCAGTACTGGAGTGGAACTGGGATGGAACTGGCAGTACTGGGGTAGAACTGGGATGGAACTGGGCTGGGCTTGGCGGTGCTGGGGTGTGGAAATGGAATGGAACTGGGCTGGAACTGGCAGTACTGGGGTGGAACTGGGATGGAAGTGGGATGGGCTTGGCAGTACTGGGATGGAACTGGGCTGGAACTGGGCTGGGACTGGCAGTACTGCGATGGAACCAAGATGGAAGTGGGATGAAACTGGCAGAACTGGGATGGAACTGGGCTGGATTTGGCAGTACTGGGGTGGAACTGGGATGGAACTGGGATGGAACTGGCAGTACTGGGATGGAACTGGAGTGGAACTGGGCTGGAACTGTCAGTACTGGCATAGAACTGGGATGGAACTGGACTGGGCTTGGCAGTGCTGGGACGGAACTGGGATGGAACTGGTAGTATTGGGGTGGAACTGGGCTGGGCTTGGCAGTACTGGGATGGAACTGGGATGGAAATGGGATGTAACTGCGCTGGATTTGGCAGTACTGGGGTAGAACTGGGATGGAACTGGGTTGGAACTGTCAGTACTGGGATACAACTGGGATGGAACTGGACTGGGCTTGGCAGTATCGGGATGGAACTGGGATGGAACTGGCAGTACTGGGCTGGAACTGGGCTGGATTTGGCAGTACTGGGATGGAACTGGGCTGGAACTGGGCTGGATTTGGCAGTACTGGGATGGAACTGGGCTGGAACTGGGCTGGATTTGGCAGTACTGGGGTAGAACTGGGATGGAACTGGACTGGGCTTGGCAGTATCGGGATGGAACTGAGATGGAACTGGGATGGGACTGGCAGTACTGGGCTGGAACTGGGCTGGATTTGGCAGTACTGGGCTGGAACTGGGCTGGGCTTGGCAGTACTGGGATGGAACTGGGCTGGAACTGGGATGGAACTGGCAGTACTGGGCTGGAACTGAGCTGGGCTTGGCAGTACCAGGATGGAACTGGGATGGAACTGGGATGGAACTGGCAGTACTGGGCTGGAACTGAGCTGGGCTTGGCAGTACCAGGATGGAACTGGGATGGAACTGGGATGGAACTGGCAGTACTGGGCTGGAACTGAGCTGGGCTTGGCAGTACCAGGATGGAACTGGGATGGAACTGGGATGGAACTGGCAGTACTGGGCTGGAACTGAGCTGGGCTTGGCAGTACCAGGATGGAACTGGGATGGAACTGGGATGGAACTGGCAGTACTGGGCTGGAACTGAGCTGGGCTTGGCAGTACCAGGATGGAACTGGGATGGAACTGGGATGGAACTGGCAGTACTGGGCTGGAACTGAGCTGGGCTTGGCAGTACCAGGATGGAACTGGGATGGAACTGGGATGGAACTGGCAGTACTGGGCTGGAACTGAGCTGGGCTTGGCAGTACCAGGATGGAACTGGGATGGAACTGGGATGGAACTGGCAGTACTGGGCTGGAACTGAGCTGGGCTTGGCAGTACCAGGATGGAACTGGGATGGAACTGGGATGGAACTGGCAGTACTGGGCTGGAACTGAGCTGGGCTTGGCAGTACCAGGATGGAACTGGGATGGAACTGGGATGGAACTGGCAGTACTGGGCTGGAACTGAGCTGGGCTTGGCAGTACCAGGATGGAACTGGGATGGAACTGGGATGGAACTGGCAGTACTGGGCTGGAACTGAGCTGGGCTTGGCAGTACCAGGATGGAACTGGGATGGAACTGGGATGGAACTGGCAGTACTGGGCTGGAACTGAGCTGGGCTTGGCAGTACCAGGATGGAACTGGGATGGAACTGGGATGGAACTGGCAGTACTGGGCTGGAACTGAGCTGGGCTTGGCAGTACCAGGATGGAACTGGGATGGAACTGGGATGGAACTGGCAGTACTGGGCTGGAACTGAGCTGGGCTTGGCAGTACCAGGATGGAACTGGGATGGAACTGGCAGTACTGGGCTGGAACTGGGATGGAACTGGCAGTACTGGGATGGAACTGTCAGTACTGGGATAGAACTGGGATGGAACCGGACTAGGCTTGGCAGTGCTGGGATGGAACTGGGCTGGAACTGGGATGGAACTGGCAGTACTGGGCTGGAACTGGGCTGGATTTGGCAGTACTGGGCTGGAACTGGGCTGGGCTTGGCAGTACCGCGATGGAACTGGGATGGAACTGGGATGGAACTGGCAGTACTGGGCTGGAACTGGGCTGGATTTGGCAGTACTGGGCTGGAACTGGGCTGGGCTTGGCAGTACCGCGATGGAACTGGGATGGAACTGGGATGGAACTGGCAGTACTGGGCTGGAACTGGGCTGGATTTGGCAGTACTGGGCTGGGCTTGGCAGTACCGGGATGGAACTGGGCTAGAAGTGGCAGTACTGGTCCGGCACTGGTGTGGCACTGGTGTGGCACTGGTGTGGCACTGGTGTGAGCCCCCTCCCCACAGCTACTACGGCCTGACCGTCTGGTTCCCCGACATGATCAAGCACCTGCAGAACATCGAATACTCCTCCCGCACCAAACTCTTCACCCGCGAGCGCGTCCGACACTTCACCTTCAACTTCACCCTGGAGAACCAGATCCACCAGGGAGGAGAATATTTCAACGACAAGTGTGTCCCCCGGGGGGGAGGGTCCTGGGCTGGGGAGGGGGAGGGAGGAGCAGGAGGGACACGTTGGGCTCTTCCCACCCAAGGTTCATCGGGCTGAAGATGAAGTCGGTGACGTTCGAGGACTCGCTCTTCGAGGAGTGTTACTTTGAGGATGTCACCTCCAGCAACACCTTCTTCAAGAACTGCACCTTCATCTCCACCATGTTCTACAACACGGGTAAAGGGGGGACAGGGCAGCTGGTGGAACTGGGATGGACGAGTTTTGCTGGGTCCAAAAGTTGGTTGGGTTGGCCAAGGCCAAAGGGTTGTGGTCAATGGAGTTGGGTCCAAAAGTTGGTTGGGTTGGCCAAGCCCAAAGGGTTGTGGTCAATGGAGTTGGGTCCAACAGTTGGTTGGGTTGGCCAAGCCCAAAGGGTCGTGGTGGATGAAGTTGGGTCCAAAAGTTGGTTGGGTTGGCCAAGGCCAAAGGGTTGTGGTCAATGGAATTGGGTCCAAAGGTTTGTTGGGTTGGCCAAGCCCAAAGGGTTGTGGTCAATGGAGTTGGGTCCAACAGTTGGTTGGGTTGGCCAAGCCCAAAGGGTCGTGGTGGATGAAGTTGGGTCCAAAAGTTGGTTGGGTTGGCCAAGGCCAAAGGGTCGTGGTGGATGGAGGTGAATCCAGTTGGTGGCCTGGTCCCCCAGTTGGTGTCCCCAGGGCTCAGAGCATCTTCTTGATGGTTTGTGGGGGGGGATCAAGTGCAGCCTCAGTTTTCAGGTGACACCAGGTTGGGTGGGTGTTGATCTGCTGGAGGTTCTGCAGAGGGACCTGGGCAGGCTGGATCCAAGGTCAACATGAGGTTCATGAGGCTCAACCAGGTCCTGCAGTTGGACCTCCCAGCAGCTCCAGGCTTGGGGAGGAGTGGCTGGGGAGGGACCTGGGGGGTGTTGGTTGACACTGACCATGACCCACCTGGCCAAGAAGGCCACCAGCATCCTGGCCTGTAGCAGGTATGGTGTGACCAGCAGGAGCAGGACAT